CTAAGATCTAGATAAACGTAACCTTGTTTAAATAATCTAATAGAGTTAATCTTTCAATTCTATAGGAAATCTATATCTTCAAGTGTGATATTGGGTGATAGAGTATATTGTCTCTCGTTTCATAATAAATGGTACTCCTTTCTAACATGATTAAGCCGAGATTTAAATGAAGAATGGTTGTGGAAGAATGAAGATGATTTAGGGAAAACATTTTTGTTGTTGAAACATTACGATCGCATTGATAGGTAGTTTTTACATTTAGTAGTCTATAGTAAAATCCTGACGAGAAAGTTGGTTTATTCATATGATTCAAGAATGTTTACTTCTTTAAGGTTGAATTATTAATCAAAGGTTTTAAAGTAAAATGAATTGTTAACTATTACTTTCTATCGATCCATCATTAATGATAAAATACTTTTGATGAAATCATCATCTTTATCTAAATGAGTTTAAATACAATTTTATTGAGACACTTTATCTATCTTTCTATCATTTAATGTTTAAAGCCAATGGAATAAAATAATTTTAGTGTGTTTCTAAGCTGAATTATTAATGTTTTTGTAATATCCATACTTCAAATGACCGCCTTTTCTGTATATCATTAACATAAATACAGAATGAGCTATAAAATATAAGTTAATAAGGTAACATAGCACATGGAAAAACTAAACTGTAATGACAAGTAACCAGTATTATAATAGACGAATATAAATGTTTAAATACAACTGGTTGCCTGGACTGATACGGATTAGTTATTTTGTAGTGAACAAGAACACGGGTGGGAAAAATCGAATTGTATTTGTCACGAAATTACAGAGTTACACGGTAAAATAGAAAAACCATATAGCAAATTGTTAATTTGCAAAATATTAATCCATCATATCAACCTGGACTGTTCCTGTTGCAAACATTAATCCATTGTCTCACATTTCATTGTTCATACGTTTTCTTACAAATTGCATTGTGTTTCCGCTCTTCCCCCAACTTCTGCTGCCAGACATTACGATTTTTACTCGCGTCATTTATTATTTACATCAATGTAAGTAGCACGCACCACAGTTTGTTTAATGAATACTTATGATGATATATACAATGTAAAATCCTGGTGAAAGGTTATCGATGGATGGAACAGATAGCCAATCAATATTGTCTTATACAAAAGTATAATAAACTTGTGTACTGAATAAATGACAAGAAATTCGGCATGAAAAAGTTACATTTAAAACTCAAACGGATGTTAGATATTAAGTTAATTAGGTCACATAAGCTTATGAAATAAATATATAATTTCATACATCTTTATTCCTTTGTAGATTTTAATAAAGAGAAGACAAAAAGATGAAGTGAGTTGATAGGTGATTGGATTTTATTTACAGGGAATCCTGGAAGTAGGTTTCGTGCTATTTGTTACTTAACAGCAAGGAGCACCAGTTATCTTGACTGAAATTATACTCCCTGGAGGATTCGATCCTGTGTTACCCAGCTTTCAAGTCTCAGATATTTGTAATTAATTGATCAGTCTGTAGTGAACAATCTCATGTTTGTCCAGGATTTTTCTGTCTACTAATAATACATGTTAAAAATAAGGTTATATATAGAAGGGGTTGATGTCATAAGTAGTAACTAAGAGATAAATTGAAAAACAATTTTCTAACAAATTGGTGATTATATAGATATATTTCGTGACTAATCATCAGTCAATTAAATCTGTATTAAATTATAAATATTGGTAATCAGAAAAATGGAATAAAAAGTATTTTCAGTATGACTTACGTCTATTGTCCCTTAAGGAGAGGTATAGGCTACCCATCACCACTCTCCATCCAAATATGTCATTGAATCTCCTTTCCAGTATTTTCCAATTGCTATTCATTATTTTCATGTCTGCTTCCGATTTTTGATGTAGTATGTTCTTTGCTCTTCTTCTTTCCCTTCACCCATCAGAATTCCATGTTAGTGTTTGCTTCGTGATGCAGTTTGATGATTTGCTTAATATGTGTCCTATCCACTTCCAACATATTTTTCTCATATCCTCTTCATACAAAAGTTGGTTTGTTCTCTCCCACAGTCGGCTGATTGTGATGGGATCAGGCCAACGGATATTGAGTATGTTGTGTAGATAATTGTTTATAAATACTTGTACTGTTTTGATGATGGTTGTGTTAATTCTTGAAGTCTCAGTTGCATACATTGGAAGTGTATTGATGTTCGTATTGAATATTCTGAATTTGATGTTAACGTGCAGACAGTTGTTTTGAGTTCCATATGTTCTTCAATTGCAGGAATGCTGTTGTTACTTTTTCCGCTGTCGTAGGTCTTCCACGTATTTCTGCTTGCCAGCTCGAATGCTTTTCTTCACTTGTTAGTTTGCTTCAATGCACTCAGTTTGCACCTTGACTTTCTCTGTGCTTGTTCTACTGCTGTTGATTGTTATCTTCTTGTTCTTTCTTGAATCTTGTCCAGGGTCTCAATATAGATCCATTCCTTATGATGACGCATCTTGAGCCCCAGCAACTCATGACACGAAGTTATTTCTTCTATGAGTAGATCTTGTAAAGCTTGGAGCCTGTTCAGAGTTATCTTGAAACGGTTTTGTTAGAAAAGCTTGTATCTTGTAGAAAGGCTGTATTAAACCATTGTACTGATGTTTTCCCACCTGTTCATTGTTTCTTTAGCTTCAGTTTCATCTCTGCCACAACAAGGTGATAATCTGAAGTTATGTCATCTCTTCTCTTTTCTCTCACGTCTTCCATAGTCCTTCGGAATTTTTTACTGATGCAAATATAATCTATCTGGTTCTCTGTGGTGTGATCCATTGAGACCCATGTAGCTTTGTTTATGCGTTTGTATGGGGATATTGTTGAATGCACATTTGTTTTCAAATCTCTCCCTATTTTCTTTTCTTTCTCTCAGTCCATGTTGTCCCATGATATCTTCATATCCGATGTTATCCATTCCGACTTCGATATTTAGATCTCCAATCAGAATTGTCAGGTCCTTTCCTGAGCACTTGACTATGATCGATTGTAGTCTCTCATAAAACTGATTTTTATCGTCGTCATTTCTATTATTGGTGGGTGCACAACACTGGATGATATTCATTGTGATCCCCTCTTTCTTTCTTTTGAAGGATGATTTGACGATTCTGAATGCATGAGATTCCCATCTCATCAGTTCTTTTCGTGCTTCTATGGATAGCATCAGTGCAACTCGTTGTGTGTGTGGAACAATTTCTTCTTCGTGACCAGAGTATAATACCAGCTCTCCCGAATCCAATGTTTCCTGTCCATCTTGTGTTCAATGGGTTTCGTGAATTTAGTTAACGGTCAAGTTGTATCTCCTCATTTCCGCTGTTATTTGGCTGGTCTTTCCGTTCTCCCACCTTGTCTGGAAATTCCATGTACCTATATCGATTGTTGCTGTGTTTATTGGAAGTGGCATCGGCCATATGACTTCCGAAGAATCTCGGAATTTATCATGAGGTGTCATAATTCTTCCTTCAACTCCCAGGGCAAAGTTGAAATGGTTTAGTTTGTTTATTCTGATTAGCGTCTTCGTAGCAAAGTTTTCTTCTGTGGGGTGGGGTTGCCGACTCTATGCCCAACCCTCCTACTTTATCCGGGACTGTGGCTGTCAGTAGCTCTAGAAGAGCTACAGGTGGAGTTAAGTATGCGAGTAAGCATGTTTAAAATCGTTTGAGAATGTCAACACCGATACCCGAACCAAATGTCTGTCGTCTCAAATGTCTAATAAATTGTCCACCAAACTACTGAGTCCAGATATCCAGTAATTTTTTCAGTCGGTTGGTGGGTATTAGTAAGAGCCTTCAACTTGATATTCAGGTCTTCTATTTCGTATACTGTTAAATTATCAGAGTTACAGACATACTAACAAGAGTATTTAAAGGAATTATTAATATTGTTATGTACATATTATATTTTCTCAGCAGTATATATATTTGTTGATTGAGATCATGAATCAACGAATGTTAAACCACCACTGAAAACTTGAAAGCACTGGACGGTCGTTTCATCCTAGTATTTGATTCCTCAGTCGTGTGCATCAACGATCTCACACATGTTATTCGAACCCAGGACCTCCGGTCTCGCGGACAAACACTTATGCATAAGAATAATGCACAAGTCATTTGACTGTTAATTTTTATTATTAGAACAAAAATTCAATGTGGAGTATACTTTCACGTGAGATTTTATTGATTTAAAAGTTGACATGTTGTAAGCAGTTGTCAGAAATGGACAGATATTGATTTCAATACTATTAAAAATTAATGGACACAAACCTCTGAACTAAACATTCTACTTTTGTTATATTCCGATGAGAATAATGAATGGTAGCTTTTGGGATCCATTTATGAACCAATACTATACATATATTTTTATCATATAATCGTTAAGGAACTAAACTATGCATATTCGTGTCCCTCTTATTATGAGCTATATTTTGATCTATGGTTTATTATTATACTATTTACCATTCTTGAGTTACTTCCAGTTTATCAATTACTATCTCCCACACTCACAGCCACTTTTGGCTAAATCCTGTACAAATGTTATTTTCCATTTTATTGGTACGACGTGTTCTCTTTGGTTGGTATATAAACCTAGTACGTTTGAAATAAATGATTCATATCACAGAAGCTGAGATTGGTATTCTGGATTTAGCAGGCAAGGCTAGGCAGGAAGCAGGATTCCTAAAGCCTCTAGACTGCTCGTACTTGTTTTATGCATCATTGGTTCGGTCGATAATTCACTGTTCTCTAATTGGTGACATGATTACGTGATACATTAATAGGATACAGGGTACACAAATTATAACAACTTTGTAACACAAGGTTCCATATAATACTTTTATGATAGAAAATCATTTCATAGAATTTCATTTATAAATAATGTGAATTCATATACTACTGAAGATAAATCACAATTGATGTTAACCTTTTTTTTCCTTTTTTCTTTTCTTTTTTAAATATCTTTTAACAGATACTTATTTATACAGACTTAGCTCAAGGTACTGAAGTAACACAAATTTATACAATAACTTCTAAAGATACTGTGAAAGATGTTATTAAACAAATATTAGCTAGAAATCATTTAAGCTTAAAAGATCCAAATTTATTTTATTTAACTTATAGACGTCAAACAAATAATGATCATCATAATAATAATAAACTTATCATGTCTAAGCAACAAGGATTCCATAGTAATTTATATGAAGCAATGGAAGTCAATACATTCAATACACCAGGTATTTGGTCATTAAATCAAAATTCAAAAGGTAAGTATTATATTGATTGTTGTCAATGTTACTTACTTACATACTTACGTCTGTTACTCCTAATGGAGCATAGGCCACCGACCAGCATTCTCCAACCCACTCTGTCCCAGGCCTTCTTCTCTAGTTCCATCCAATTCTTGTTCATTCTTCTCATGTCTGTCTCCATTTCTCAAAGGAATTTGTTCATTGGTCTTCCTCTCCTCATTTTCCTTCTTTGACCTTGAGGATTCCATGTGAGGGTTTGCCTTGTGACACGCAGTTTTGTACTTGTCTCAATTTGTGTCCTATCCACTTCCAGTGCTTCTTCCTGATTTCCTGCTCCGTTGGGATCTAGTTTGTTCTCTCCCATAGTAGGTTATTGCTAATAGTGTCTGGCCAACGGATCCAAAGTATTTTACGTAGACAACTGTTGATGAACACTTGTGTCTTGTGGATGATGGCTTTCGCACTTCTCCAAGTTTCCGCCTCACATAGTACAACTGTTTTGACATTTGTATTGAAAATTCTCACCTTGGTGTTGGCAGTTGACAGTTGTTTTGAGTTTTAGATGTCCTTCAGTTGTCAATACACTACTCTAGCTTTACGGATTTGCGCTTTCACATCTGCATGAGATCCACCATGTTCATCAATGATGCTGCCCAAATATATAAAGGTTTTTACATCTTCCAGATCTTTTCCGTCAGTTGTGATTGGATTGGTGCATGCTGTGTTGAATCGGAGAATCCTGCTTTTACCTTTGTATATGTTGGGACCTATTGTTGCTGAGGCTGCTGCTACACTGGTCGTCTTCTCCTGCATTTGTTGTTGCGATTGCTATAGGAGGGCCAGATCATCTATGAAGTCTAGATCGTCCAACTGCATCCTAGATGCCCACTGTATCCCGTGCTTCCCTTCAGATGTTGACGTCTTTATGATCCAGTCGATCACCAGGACAAAGAGAAAGGGTGAGAGTAAGCAACCTTGCCTGACACCAGTTTTTACTTCGAACGAGTCTGTGACCTGTCCTCCATACACGATTTTGCAGTGTAATCCATCATAAGAATTCCGTATTGACTATCTTTTGAGGTACGCCTAAGTATCAATGAGGCTTCCATAGTGTTGTTCTTTCCACGCTATCAAATGCTTTTTCTTAGTCAATAAAGTTGATATAGAGTGATGAATTCTACCCAAATGCTAACATTGTTACCTACATTATTATTATTATTGTTACTATGTAGAATTACTTAAGGAGATTTTTTGTTTCATTAGTAAATTGAACTTATCAAATTCTATAGACTTATTTTTTTACAAGTAGAATGTAAAATTTTGTCAATATTGTAATAATGAATTTTTCATAAGAACTTTCGACGAGATTTTAATTTATGGACGAAACAATCAGGTATACGATAACAGGTCATGGATTTTGGCGTGAAATCTATTCACCCATCCATTCGACTAAATAGAGTTTTTTCATTATAGCTGATATCATTTCGTAATAAAAACTCTAAATGTAATTCCTAACCTTAATCATCAATTGTAAATCATAATTCTATTTCCTCAGACTAGTTTATAATCCTCATTTGATCTTAATTATTAGGTGGACAATCTCAAGGTCAGTTTGGCGACGCTCAAAGGTCGCTTATAAATTATAGTTTCACCGAACTTCAATCTAAATTTGTTTAAATAGTTTCACGGTATTTAGGCGCCAATTTGATGTGAGATATTAAAGAGGAAGGATCAGATTATTGAAGTAAAACGTTGAATTTACTTCAAATTCATTCACTGAGATTTTACATCATTTAGATCATTTTTAGATCGGAAAACAGAATCTCTTCAATATTATTTGATAACTTAAGTGTAGATTAGAAAGAAGAGTAGAAAAAACTTTCTTATGCATTCAAATTTACTGGTTAATACACTTAGATCCCAGTGGATATTATACGTCAACCACTGTCATCTAAAAATGTTATAGTCTATACGGTGACATATGGAAGACAATATGTAAATAGTTTACCTATGATTGTGTTTACAGAAATAATTGGATTTAATAATATCACATATGTATAAATGTTATGTTGATCATAGATGGAAATATCTGTTGACAGGTTAGAGTAGTTAAAAAATGTGTAATCTGGTTCATTGCTATAAAAAAATGGACAGGATATAAAACAGTTTAATAGCGATATCTATTCATGAATGAAGTTCATGATTTAGTAGTTGAGTTCATGAGTCAATCGAAGCTAGACCACCGTAGAAAACATGAAAGTACTGGACGGTCGTTTCGTCCTATTGTGGAAAAACTCAGCAGTGTGCACTCAGGATCACCTTTGGTCTCTCGCGCAAGCTCTTAATCACTGAGCCGGCATCCAACAATGTTAATGTCTAACTTCAACCAATTCACGGAACTGCGTCACCGTCCACCATTGTATTCAATGAGTTACTATGTCATAACGGACACGGTTAAACTCCACTACTCAGGGCTTCTCACTAAGATTGTAGAAAATACCACTTGAAGCCAGTCATTAGTGAGCACACGATGGTTATTATCGGAACGGGTTTTTCATAGTAGTCTAGCTTTGATTAACTCATGAACCCAACTATTAAACTGCTGTAATCTCTACAAAAAACCCCTTCTGATAGGATCATAATTGTCGGACAATTTAAAGCAACTAAATAAGAAATTACAGAGCTAAATTTCATGTCAATTAGTACTCGTCAATTGAAAAAAGGCTAATGCTAAGTCCTATGAATTTGATTCCAGATTACATACATTCATGTCTGATACTGCTGACTTCCTTTGGCGATCTTATATCTAACGAAGAGTACTATCATGTTGGTCGTTTTAAAATGTGATCAAAAGAGATCAACCTCAAATAAAGACTGGTCTTATATCGAGCCTACATAGCTTATTCTAACTTCCGGACAAGACAGTTTATCCCTTGTTCTGAAGCTAAATTTTGATCTTGTTAATTATTCGCTTATCAACCTTGACTATTTTTCTATGAGCGTATGTATGTACAATTTTGATCTCATTCATCACATGTTTGTGACTTATTTTTGTCTGACTATAAATATCGATTAACGCTTGATTAAATGGAGTTGACTCACATGACTTCTTCACTGCGCGTCATTTCGCTTCGTTCCTCTGATTGACTGTCCAGATCAATGATTGTACAAAATACACGCATTCTAAAATCTATTCTCGTATTTAACATATTAAATTCCGTTATACACTAACACGAGTTAAGTCGATAATTATATACGAGGTTAGGCAATATGTGTACTTCAATAACATTCATACAATATAACTAGATTTAGATTTCGGGCCACTAAAGTTTAAAGTAGTATAACCATTAATTATCTAACAAAAGAAACCCAGCTTTAATATAGTGGTTGTAGGTAATCAACAGGAAACTCTGGACCTAGGTTTCGTACTATTTGGCACTCGTCACCACAGTGTACCTGTAATCTGAAGGGAACTGATGCTCTCTTCGATGGATTTTTATCTCGTATCATCCAGCTTCACAGTTAGAGACATTATCACTGAGATATCCCGGCCGCAATTGATCTCCTGTAGCACTGAGATATATTCACAACTGATTGACCACTGGGTTATGGGTGAGCAATGTCATGTGTGTCAACTCCTTCTTCATGGTCGATAACATCCGATGTACACTTAGAAAGATCGGACACATATGACATTGCTTACTCAACACCAAGTGATCAATCCATTGTAAAAAAAAACCCAGTTTTTTGTTCCAAAAAGCCCAGTGATTAGATTTATTCTTCAAATAAAAATTTCTCTGATCAATAAATAGTGAAAATTAAAAAAAATATTTTTTTCTAAAAAAAAAACACCAATAAATCACATACATACTTTCAGTGTTTAACTTAGATTTACTCAAGTTTATTTCTGCTTTAACCGTTTGTTTGCTTGTTTGTTTGGTTGGTTGGTTGGTTTGTTGGTTTTCTAAATTCCTCACAAATAGTTTATTATACAAATGGTATTTTGATAAATGAATTACAAGTAGAGAATGCCTATCAATACATAAATTTTAAAAAAAAAAATGATAATCAACCTTATTATGACATAACAAAAGTGTTATGTTTAAGTTTGTTTGACAGAAGAATCTTTTCTTTTGAAAAAAATGAGAGAGAAAAAAAGAGAGAAAGAAGATTCAAGAAGAAAAAGGCATTTTACTATTCACCTAATGTAACAGTGTGAATTATTTATTTAAATAGGTATGCTAATAATAATAATAATAATAATAATAATAATAATAATAGCACACAAGTTATTTTAAATAGATAGATAAACACACAGATCAGTCAGTAGATAGATAGACAGACAGACAGATAGGTGCTCAATTCGAATAAAGTGACAATGTTGATGAACTGATTTTTATGAAATTTCTTTCTAAAAAAAAAACTTTATAATGAAAATCTTTTAAAAAAATAATTGAATATTGAGAATTTTATTAAATAAATTATAAGTGAATTGTTTGATTGATGAATATTAAACTGAGAATAAATCTGAAGTAATACATAGTAATTACTTATTAATTATCTTAAGTTTGTTACTACTCATGGGAGAGTATAGACCACCCATCTCTATTCTCCATCCAAATCTGTCTTTCACTTTCCTTTCCAGTATTTACCAGTTGCTATTCTTTTTTTTCATGTCTGCTTCCAATTCCCAATGTAGTATGTGCTTCGGTTTTCTTCCTTTCCTTCACCCATCAGAATTTCATGTTGGTGTTTGCTTCGTGATACAGTTTAATGATTTTCTTAATGTGTGTCCTATCCACTTCCAACATATTTTCCCAATATCCTCTCATACGGAAGTTGGTTTGTTCTCTTCCACAGTCGGCTGATTCTGATGAGACCAGGCCGACGGATATTGAGTATGTTGTGTAGACAATTGTTTATAAATACTTGTACTGTTTTGATGATGGTTGTAGTAGTTCTTCATATTTCAGCTCTATACATTAAAACTGTCTTGATGTTCGTATTGACGATTCTGAATTTGATATTGGCGTGCAGACAGTTGTTTTGAGTTCCATATGTTCTTCAATTGTAGGAATAACGTTCTTGTTTTTTTCAATCTATGATTTCACATCTGAATCAGATTTTCCATTTTCCTCGATGATGCTGTCCATGGACTTAAATGTTTCCACCTCTCCCGTAGCTTCTTCATTAAGTGTGATTGGGTTGGTGCTTTATGTGTTGTATTTCAGGAATTGATTTTCGCTTATGTATGTTAAGGCCTACTGCTGTAGAGACTGCTGTTGTGTGAATGCTACTTTTATTGACAGATATAAATAGTATGTAGCAGCAGTAGGAGTGAAATACCTGTCAGAGGAAGATTGAAATGTAGAGTACAGGAAGAAAATCAGAAACGAATGGAAATAACAACAGATTTAGAGGAATCATGGAGTAAATAATAACGCAAAGAAGCTTTGCAAGTGATGTATGTAATGTATTATTTTCATATTTTGTTAAGTAATTGTAATTGAGAAGTGGATGGCTTCATGATCGAGTCGACTACCAAAAATAAAATAAAAAGCGGAATTAAACAGCCTTCTCCGACACTTGCCTTTATACTAGGAATGCACTTGTCAGCTGTTCTTCAAGCAGGACTTTACAGTGTAGTCCATTATATGAAATTCGTATGATGTTGACAATCTTCTCAGGTACACCATAGTATTGAAAGACATATAAACAGAAGGAGTCAATAAATAAGATAATTATCTGAAGTAAATTATGCAAAGGAAAATGATTTAACTGTTGACAACTAGAAAGATCTACGAAAGAGTTTTGTCCAAGATTACGAAATCTTAAATAATACGACTGATCAGTCAAACATGATTGACAAGTGACCTAGTACAAACGAGCTTTTTAAACCTAGCAGTTATATCACATTAGTGCAGTGAAGTGAAAATATCAAAATATTTATCAAATAAATCCGGATCATAATAACGCTATCATAGTAGATAATAATAGTCAACATAATAGTTCATCAAAGACAGTGTGATTACGAGAGGACGACTGAAAAGAAATCAGTTGTGAATGAATATTGAAAGAGTATATGCACCTCTACCACTAATTCCGGTTCTGATCCATTTAATTATCAAATGCTATAAACCACTGGTGATGGTTATCTTACCTACTCCGAAAAGATGATCTGTCAAAATTTAAAACTCATACAAACTTAATTTGATGATTTGATAGGACATTTTGCTTCCAATAGGCCCTACCAATCACAATATTTTATTATATGTGTTAGTTAAACATACATAACGTATCTCCAAGATATCTCAATTAATGAAGATCCTTAACTGACTTTCTATCTTTACCTAATGATTTAGGTCTAAACTTAAGATTGTACACTCGCTTATTCAATAATATACATGAATCATGACATCAATCACTATTCAGTTGTTAATCGATTGTAAACTTTTATTACTGAAATCGTAAGTGCTATCAATAAAGCTATTATCACTTTGACCTAAATATAGAACTTAAATTTAATGGTTGAATTCATGAGTCAATTGAAGCAAAACCATTATGGAAAACCTGGAAGCACCAGACGTCCGTTTCGTCCTATTGTGTGACTCTTCAGCAGTGGCTATCCACGATCCCGCCTCGAAAGATTCGAATTCAGGACTCATCAGTTTCACGCGCGAGTACCTAACCTCTAGACCACTGAGCCAGCCAGCATCCAACCAATCCACAAACTTAGAATAACACATCTTATTTTTTACAAACAGATTTTAACTCATAAGAAATTGCTTGATTACATGATTTTACTCATTAACTAGTAAGATAAACAAACTATAGTTCAAAGAAATAGGTAAATATCATAGATTAACTATATTAAATTATGCATTTGTTTTATTTATATTGCTGCCTATTTTCATTTTAGATATTGATGTCACATTATACAGTGATGCAATTTTATCAAGAACGTTAGATTTAACCAAAGATAACAGGTAAATATCAATATGGAAAAAGAAAACTACAAATTTTTCTTCAGTTATAAATACAGTTTTTTTTGTGTGTGTATTTTTCACAATTTTGTTTAAAAAGGAAAACTGGTAAACTGGTCCTACCCCTCCCCCTCCCTCATGCTATCATCATTATTATTATTTTCATCAGTAAGTAAATCTCCGCAAAACCCTTTCTGATAATAATCATCTGCTCACTAGTGACTGACTTCAAGAGATACTCCTGGAGTTCTAGTAAGAAACCGTTACCAGTGGAGTTCAACCAAGTCTGTTGTAAGATATCAGCTCACTGAAGACAATGGTGTACGATGGCGCAACTTCGTGGATTGGTTGAAGTTAGACATTAAGACCGTTGGATGCCAGCCGGCTCAGTGACCTAGTTCGTTAGGCGCCTGGCGCGAGACTGATATGTCCTGGGTTCGAATCTCGCGGGGTGCGGGATCGTGGATGCGCACTACTGAGGAGTCCCGTACTAGGACGAAACGGCCGTCCAGTGCTTGCAAGTTTTCCATGGTGGTCTAGCTTCAATTGACTCATGATTTTAATCAATGAAATAGATCTTTAACAAGATTGAATTAGTTGACGACATAAAATTAACTCATGTCATATTATCTATTTTCAATCATCAAACTCTATTGTAGACTCTAATTTAAATGATCTTACTTTGTTTGACACTGACTAAGCTAGATCATTAAACATTTGAGTTCTATAAAACTTCATGTATTTCAATATAATCATTTAAAGATACCCATTATATTAAGAGACTAATATAGTGAACGAAGAATATTCTCTTCGTTAAATTCACTTCAGGTTCTGAGATTAGATGATGGTTGGAGGTAGTCAACGGGAAACCCTGGACCCGGGTCTCGTCAGCTGGATGACACGGGATCAAATCTGCCAGGGAGCATCAGTTCCCTCAAGATTACAGGTACACCTTGCTGACGAGTGTCAAGTAGCACGAAATCCGGGTTCAGGGTTTCCTGTCGACTACTTCCAACCACCATCTAATCTCAATATATAGTGCACGCAGTGTCGAGTCACGTAGACTGGTGGCCACATTGCAACATGATCGATAGCATTCGACCTGCACTAAATCATGACTTGACACATGTGTATAATGTTTCCAATTATTTGAATTGTAGCACTAACTAAGAGTCCCAGAAATAACGCAATTGAACTAAGAAGTCACAAGCACAAACGAATGTACTGTATTTGGAATTCGAAAATTGTGCAATCAACATGTACAAAAGTATCATTAGTCAATTCAAACACCACAATATGATATTGATCACCACCCAGTGATAAATTAATTGTGATCACTTCAGGTTCTACAATTCATATAGCCAAATTAATTATCCGAAAAAGTGGCCAGATTAAGGGTAAAGTTCATCGTTTAAAGCATGTGAATTTAGGATTGTCAAATAGAATAGAACAAAATCGTTCATGTTGATATGACTCACATAGAATGTTAAGTTGAATTATATGTTAAGTGATAATTTAAGATCTATGATCAGAATAAATATGGGTCAGATAGGGTGAGGGAAATGATAGCGCAATAACAATTCGATCAAATGTTTAGTGGAAGATTACACTATGAATGAGAAGTAAATGAATCATGTATTGGGGAGATTAATAATGATGTTTAACTAATAGTAATAATAACAATAATAATACAAAGATTTGTAAATAAAGATAACAGAGGAAATTACCATTGACTACGAAAGTTCGTAAGCACAGTAGTCAAATGAAGTCATTCACTAGCCAAGATTATTATTGATTAATTGGCCTTGAGGTTGGCCAAGGGAGGAGGAGCAGTTAAAGATATTTCTTTTGCGAGTAGAGCTACGGTTTATTCATCCAGATGACTCCTGCTTCAGCCGTTTGAAGGACTTTAAGTTTGACAAGCTTTGACAGAAAATTACTGACCCTATATATATTTCAAAAGGATTGATTTATACTGGAACTATGACCAGTTTGTACTAAATGGACCAATATCAGTCTATTCACTTTCTTCACCAAACCTTTGCTTAGTCACGCTGATTGTAATATTCATGGATTCGAAATGAAATCTCTATGAGGATATTCATTGTCTTAAAGTTAAAAATATAACTTGCTTAGCTTAAAATCTACTTTTAATATTTTGTATCGCCATTAACATTTAAATATTATGCTTGAACGAATAGACAACATCAAATTAAATCTTACTCCTAAATCGATTAATCTTTTACCTCATTAATATTAATGATCACTGCCTAATATTCATTTGTTTGTTTGAATATTATTGTATCTTGTTTAGCTTAATCATTCTCAGCTTCATTATGATTCATTAAATATTTCATTTAAAGTCATTATCATCAATCTATTTGGAATGTAGATTAATCTAAGTTACATGTAAATTGTTTTCATAATGAATAATGAACAATTGGAAAGTAGATTGTTTATTAATAATTAAATAATGATCTGAAATATAAACGCGGTAAACATTAATAATGAAAAGAGTTTGTAACTATGCATATGATTATGCAATATATAATATGTATACCAATATGATGATAAATGAGAACCGGTGAAATAAGTGAATTCTTAGCATTTTTAACATTATTCTAAGTAAAAAAAATTATGTGTTTGATTTATATAATTACACAATAAAAACAAAATGTAATTTTAATAGTTTATTATCATGAGTTATTTGAATCTAGACTACTATGAGAAACGTGGCAACACTAGACAGACGTTCCGTCCTAATGTGAGACTCTTTAGGAGTGTGCATCTACGATCCTGCTTTGCGAGATTCGAACCAAGAACCTGTCGGTCTCTCTCGCGAGCGCTTAACCTCTAGACCATTGAGCCGGCATCCAACCTCTTCTGATATAAAACAAAATGTGTTAATTGGATGAAATATATTTTACATTGTGACAATTGATAAGAATGTAAATTAAACGAAATTTACTTCATATATGCAAATCTATCGAATGAATGTTGTTTATAATAAGCACCAACTAGTAGTAAACATACAAGAAATTGATTTATGGTGAATGATCATGGTTTGACTTTGATAAGTAAAACTTTAAATTGTTAATTACTGAATGTAAATCAGAATTCTGTGTTTTTCTTTATTAGAAAGACGTTGGTAACTTTTTTTGCCTACTAGGAATATATTACACTTAATTAGCTGGGTTTTTTGTTTATAACTTAACAGTGATGTGACCGAATAATTAGTTAATTGTTTATATATGCATTTAAATATTTAAGTTTAGGCTAGGGATATGCCAATCGAGATGTTTGGTTTAGGTATTTTTGGCCTACCGTAGAATTGAACGAGTACTGGCACTCGCTCGATTTTAAGGTAAGTCGAAAATATGCCAATCAAATGGTAGTAACAGTTTACAATAAAAAGACTATGTAAATAAGTTTGTAAACAGTCAACTGGATAAAATTTTTAGCGATACGTAACACAATGTAACAATCATTTCTGATTTGAAAATGTTTCTCCTTAAAACTTTGAAGCAAAAATATGATATACAAAACATCAGATGATAATAGATCTGAGGTGCTAGTTGGAGCGGTCTGTTGCCGGGAGATGACGTCGAGTGGAGTGCTCTGGAGGGTTGGTGTTGGCTACAACGGGTGCTGCCGACGGTGAGGAGCGGTGAAAAGTGCGGCTGCTGGGCGGGCATTGGATGTAGATGGCTCAGCAGGTCGCTGGAACGCAGATGTTGAACACCCCGTGTGCCGTGTGGCCACAGACTCGTAGCACAGGCTTCAGAAACAAAGAAATTGGCATAGTGAGCAAAATCACGGCAAGAACAACTAGTTTAAAGGGAGGACGAATGTGGTGTGTGCTATTTATATCGACATAAATAGTTTATAACTCCAGTCAGGAATAGGATTTTTGGGAGCAGAAAATCGAGGAGGAAAGAACGAAAACGGAAAAAAATTGGTGTGGAAATGCAGGAACAATAAAGTCCGAGACGACTGACTGACATTTTCCAAATGAAGAATTTACTTTACGGTTCTTACATTTTACTAAGATATTCTGTACTTTGTGTTTAAATACATTCAGTCATCCCCACTTGTGTTCTCGTTCACTACAATAGTAGTAGGCTATTAAACTATTTACTGTACATTATATTTCAGGTACCTGAAAATTAACTTTTCTATGACTGTAACAAAACCTCATTTAAAGTTAGAACATGTTTAATGTTCATTTTCTTTGACATAATAATACCATATTTTCAAACAAATTTTGTTTTATGATTACGGGATCTTTACGTGTTATTGTTTCATTGAGTTGAAACCTTAAAATTTATTCAATTCACACGATATTTCCCTGGCAACTGTATACAAAGTGTCCTAAACTTGGGTTTGAGTAAAATCAATTGACTTAACCGCTTAGTGACTCAGACATAATAATCTTCGTGTTGTTCTTGATAATAACGTAAAATATAATACATATTGTTATATCCCGATGTGAATTATGAATGGTATCTCTTGAGAACTATTTATGGATCAATATGATACATATATTTTTATTGTATGATCATTAAGTAGCTAAACTATTCATATTCGTGTTCCTCTTATTATAAGCTTTATTTTGACCTATAGATTATTATTATTATACGATTTATCGTTCTTGAGTTATTATGCCTAGTCTATTAGTTACAGACTCCCACTTTTGGATAAATCCTGTATAAATGTTATTTTCTATTTTATGGTACTATTTGGTCTGTTTGGTTGATATCTAAACCCTGTATGCCTGAAATACATGATTCACATAGCAGAGGCTGAGTTTGATGTTCTGAACTTAACAGGCAGGGCTAGGCAGGAAGATAGGACCAATATAAACTCTTGACGGCTCATATGGGTTTTACGCGTCATTAGTCCGGTTAATAAATCACTATTCTGTTAATTGGCGGTATCATTACATTATATATTAATAGGGCATAACGCCACAGGTTATAACACATATCATTGATGATGTTATATTTTCTAGACTGAAAGTGCTTTTTATTTATGAAGCTTTCACTGTTATTGTGAATTAAATCATTAGTGTCTAGATTAAGTGTATTTCTATGACAATGTATTTAACCAGTTTTGAATTGATTCATTTTGTTCATCTTATTTGTGATTTGTTATTGAAGTCTTGTTAACTACATTCACTTTTGCATCATTATTAATTGTTTTATTCAGTTGACCTTTGACAGTATGGTACATTCATGTTTGTCATAGACTGTATCTACAACAATGTCTGTATAACAGACTTTTAAAGTTGTAGTGACCTACTTTTATGAAGAGAACGCAATTGATATAATGGAAACAATCATTATTATAAACAATTGTGTCAGTGATTGTTTTATTGTGTTCGGTTGTTTAACTGTGCTAAAGACAGCCATATTACTCCTCCATGACTTTTCCGCGGATTGTGACTTCGTACGTTCGTACTCTTGCCCATTGATTCCACTTGTCCTCCTATTGGCACGATCTCGGTATTTTTTTACTATTCAACTTTAGTCATGAAACGACTTCATTAATTAGTTTATATCATTGGGTAGATCTTTGGTTTTCTTAATCTAACCCTCTTTGTATATAGCTCTTGATGTGAATATTTAGCTTTTTACCATTTGTTAACCAATACTTTTAAGAGTTTCTACTCTTGAATACTCTGTTTAGAGTGACTTTTTGTTCGGTATGTTAGGAAATGCAGCAAAGTGGCATAGTTCTTGCTGACCACTTCTATTTAAACATTAAACAATCAAATCAAGAGAACTATCAGTAAAATGGTTAAAGACGAAAGTGTTATATAATATGTCGTAACCTTGAATTTACCTTGGTAATCCTTAAGTCATTCTATGGCCTAGGATAACGCGATAAGTTTTTATTCTTTTTCTTCCCTTTGTTATTATACTTGAACTTTCATTTAAATGACCTTTATTGATTTTCATATAAAAATGCTCAGATTGTTCAAAATCTATAGAGCAAATACATCACATTTTTCAGGTAAACTCAATCTTCTCATTGTTCTATCGAAATAAAATAAGCGTTAAATATTATCTTGTGAACTTGTTCTTCATCATTTCTAAGCCAAGCCAGATTAGAACAGATCAAACAATCCATTAAGACTAATTTGCCTATTGTATTCTACTTCAATCTATCTTGTTTAATAAACTATATATAATACTATTCGGTTAAATATAATATATGATCACTCCCCAAGTCGTTCAAAACATTTCTTATACAGGATATTAATGAAAATAAAGTTTTTAAAGTTGTCTTTATACACTTATGTTATGTAATATATACTAATATGGATAACTTGCTTCTTATGTTTTACTTAGAAGATGATGGTGATCCTAAGACACACTTTCAATAAAGCATACATAATGACTTTTACACTTGTAATTATCATTATTAACGTTTAACTTGATAGTTTCAAATAAACTGTTCATTGGATAGATTGTAAATCATCAAAATAATAATATATTTGTGATATCCTATCGAGTAGAAAATTAACTTTCTAACATTTTGTCCCATATTGTCAATCACTTCTTCAACCGAACTGAATTAATACAAGTTTTATTCTTTGAAGAAACACCTTTCACGAAAACTTTAAACATCAGAATTTTAATTTTCTATTCATTGGGATATTACAAACTTATTTATATTTTTAGCGATTACAATTAGTTAGAAGATAAACAAGAAAAATACAAGTGATCAACATTAAGTGAATTTAAACTTAACTCCATCGCACAAATAGGCGGCTATCAAAACTCAGTAGCTAAGTGAAGAACGTGATAGCATTTGAAGCGAACGGTACTGAGTTTGAGTCCCAGAGTGAACATCAACTCTGAGATGCACGCACGTCCAGCTGACGAGTCCCAACTAGGACAAAACGCTCATCCTGTGTTCTACTGCTAGCCGCCATCCATATTTACTTATAAAGCTTATGACCTAAGGCGATATCGAGGTAGTCCGCGAAGGATTCACATATACTAACAAGAGATTGATCAACTACAGTCCTCAACATCAATGGGAAGTTGCAAGTAAACAACACCAAGATTTGTGTGCAAAATTTTATAAGTAGTAAGAATTATTTATAAATATATATTTTACAATCTAACCATTTACCATTACATTATATTATTATATTTTATGAAGGTTAACTCTTCATATGCAAACTGGTGGAGTTTTGAAAATCTATGATAGCTGTTTCTCAAATCCCGTAAGTTCTTAGATGATACAGCAAACAGTGACACATTTGTACATTGTTTATTGCTGGAAAGTTAGAATAAATTTAAGTTTCTTTTTCTTTTATGTATTAATACTTAATCTTGTTTCGAAAAAGTTGGTTAAAGTATGGCTACTAATTTAAATGGCTTGATATCTTAGTGTAATTAGGCCAGACCAGTAGAATGTTTTAGATAACCGAGTGAAAACATCGCTAACCATAGCACTATGTAACATGTGTATAACAACCAAAATTTAGATTTAAGTTGGAACTTAGAAAATGTTCCAAACCAAATAAACGGAGTTTTTTTTTCTGTATAGAGTATGAAGCTAATTTGTATTCCTCATAGTTAACGATTATGTTACAATACAATATTGTGCGTGAATGTTTGTGATACTGCTCAGTAATAATAGATTATATCAAAAGTGCAAAATATTTCATTCATGTCACTTGGCCGCTATGCAATTCAAAAGTTTCTCTTGTGTAAAATAATGTATTATGTAGAGAAATATCATTAGAGAAAACAACTATTAGGTGTTTGTGAATCAACAAGTATATTTCCAACAAAATTAGGTCGATATTTCTTCTGTAAGAATCGAATCAGGCAACGATATGTTCAGCGAACAGCCAAATAGCAATAGACAATTGCTTCACAATGCAAACAACCCTTATTGTCAACAATTCAGCTATAGAAAAATGGAATATTAAACTGTGATAATTAGGAGTATTTGAATCATAGTATAAACTAAGAATTCCACAAATAACGCAATTAGATCAAGAAGTATTAGATAAGCACAAACGAATGTACTGCATTTGGAATTCAAAATCAAGCATTCAACAAGTATAAAGGAATCATTACTTCATTCAAACACCATATAAACGTAAATCTTAGCGAAAGTCAAACAGTAAAGGTTTATTAATGAAAAAGATTGTGAAATATAAAATACAGCTTGGGGATTCCTGAAGAAAACTTAACGTATACAGAAAGAGAGAATAACTCATGGAAAAATAGCAATACTATCAAAAGGGACACATTAGAGGGATTTTCAAAGCACTTATTCTGTCGTAATAAGTATAAAACAGACTTTTAATAGTTGAGACAATGAGTCATTTGGAGCTAGACCATCATGGAAAACCTGAAGGCGCTGGACGGCTGTTTCGTCCTATTGTGGGACTCCTCAACAGCGACTGTCCACAATCATGCCTCACGAGATTAAAACCCAGGACCTACTGGTCCTGCACGCAAACACTTAACCTCTAGACCACTAAGCCAGCCGGCATCCAACGGTGATAACGTCTAACTTTAACTAATCCATGAAACTCAGCGACTCATCCACCATTCCTGAAGTTCTAGTGAGAAGCCGTGACCAGTGCAGTTCACCGGATCTGCTGTTAGATAATAACTCACTGAAGACAATGCTGTAGCATTAAAGTGCAAATTTTGTGGTTCTTTATTAATTCTGAAGTTTTTGACAATCTGTTTACTATTTTCAAGGTAAATTCTGGGTTTTTAAATTAGATTAGTTGCAACTTGAGTAGCTTGGCTTGTTAACAGCTGCATGACGAATTTAAAAACACACTTCTTTTGTGTTTAAGAATGTTATTTTCAGATTCGTTAACGATCTCTTTCACTAAATTGAATTTAACTGAAACATTTTCAGTCTTCACTAAGATTATCATACTTAGTAATTTCAGTCAATGTACCTTTTATTCAATGAGTATTCGTTTTTTAAAAGAATTTGATTTCAAGCAGCTAGATTTGCCCTCAACTGGTTCCAATGAATTTATTAAGTGTGGTATATTCAATAATATCAGATGAAAGACATAAATATTAATAGAAGTTAGAGATTGTGGCAAGATATTTGTGGAAAATCACAATTGAAATATTAATATTCGCCCACTAAATGAACAGATTTTCAACACGGAACACAGCTTAGATTTAAAATTTTGCTGATAACACTAAGCCCTTCATGACAATGTAATGTAGTAAACTTTATTTCATATACACTTATGCACATCTATCAAAAACAACTAAATACACAGTCATTAGTCTGTGTACTACATTTCTACGAATTTGATATCAGTAATGTAGTGGCTTAATGGTTGAACCACACAATATTCCGACCTACAGGATAGATTACTTAAATATTTTTTTAACAGAAATGATAAAAAAATTGGGCGAGACTCTAATTTATGGACGACCTTTGAATGGATCTTAAGGGACCCTGAAAAATATCAGCCAATCAGCAAACAGTCAGTATAGTGTAAAAATATGTTATACAAAACCAAGGAAATAAAGTGGATACACTTCTTATACGTGGTTCAGAAACTTGTCAAGTTAGGAAAGAGGTTCGGAGGTTCTTAAATCGCAATGCATGCGCTAGAGAGAATCATTCATAAGGCTAGAAAATAGTCCGTCTTTGGAGCCATGATTAGGTCGCAAAAGCTATTTCAGCCTCGGCCACATAACATCAATATTGTTTATGTGCACTCCGGTTGTTGAATGCACAAAATGCCACCTGTGGATAACGACACGATGCACATAACCAAGCTTATGTAGGAGTCTGTACGCTTTCCAAACATCCGTATATATTGTAGTACCTGGCTGCAACCAGTGGTGCTTTACTCGTGTTTTTATTACCCAGTTCACACTAATTGTCGTAATTTGCCTAAGAAATTATATATGGGGTTTTCATCACGAAATGACATCAGCTAAAATGGCAGAAATTTATTTAGCCCAATGGATGAAAGGCTTTCGCTTTAAAATCCGAGATCTATTATCTTATACCTGATTGATTCGTCCACAAATTATAGTCCCGCCGTTTTATTCGTTGTAGCCGCTCACTTATCAGGTTTTGTACAAAGTTCCTTGTGAACCGATCGTACGTTAGCAATAAGCACTGAAGTTGGTGCCGTAACCTTGAAATCTCTAAAACGATTTTGATTGGCTCGTCCATAAATTAGAGTCTCGCCCAAAATTGTCTGTTAAAAAAATAAATATGAACAATCCGTAATCGAATCGAAATCAGAAATCAATAATCATTGGATTATTAATTGTTGTTTAGATTTACCGTTTTCATTAGTGATCATTTTATACTATATGTAATTCTTTATTATTATTATTATTATTATTATTATTATTAATCAAGGCTTCAATTCGACAATTTCATATAGCAAAGACAACATGCAGTGAAGAGTTAATTGATTTAATATTGACTGTTACTTGTTCAAGTGACCCAGTTACAGATTATTGTCTTGTAGAAGAGGGTATAAATGAAGAAGGTGATTTGTTATTATAATTTTTTAAATTCTGTATTTATACCTGTTTATTTATAGAATAATTGGTATATTCAATGATGTTAAACTGGTAAATTAGAAGAAATAATGAGAACCAACTGACGTTATGAATTTAGAATATTGAATACCAATTTAACATTCTAAAGACCCTCTTTAAGCAATGATACCAGAAAGTTCATTGCTTCTTTATCTCACAGATCATCTAACAGTTCAGAAGCTTTAAAAGTAATGTTTACTTTAGGATTAAATCAAGTTGATTTAATGTTGAGCGAATTAAGGATACTTGAAATCGCTAAAGATATTTTCATGTATGAATAAACAAATTATCACGTACCCCTACCAATTTAAAAGTATAATTAGGTTGATACAGAAAGCAATGTTGCATGTAAAGAGCAGAGGTATAAGGCTAAATTGTTTGGAATGATGTAGTTAATAAATTGTTATAGGGGTTTATTTATCAAAAATATTAAAACATTGTGAGGTAGCAAGTGGGTAATAATAATTCTTAATAATAAGACAAGAACATACTGCTGATGTATGGACAGTTTAATTCAGGTCATTTTTAGTGTCATAACAGAGTCATCTAGATCTAGAGAAGGAAAACGAAAACATAAAGTGCAGGACAACAACAACAGAAATTACAGTGATAGGTTTTTTTTGCTTCGCAAGTGCTAAGTTGTTTAGTGATCTACTGTTGTTACTTACTTACCTACGCCTGTTACATTCAATGGAGCATAGGCTACCGAACAACACTCTCTAACCCACTCTGTCCCACTCTGCTTTACTTTCTAGATCTGTCCAATTTTTGTTCATTGTTTTCATGTCTGTCTCCATTTCTCAAAGTAAAGTTTTCTTTGGTCTTCCTCTTCTCCTTTGGCCTTGGGGATCCCAAGTGAAGGCTTGCCTTGTGATTCAGTTCCGTGCTTTCCTCAATATGTGTATTATCTACTTCCAACGCTTTTTCTTGGAATCTGGTTTGTTCCAATCTACTAATGTAGATGGAAACTTTAAATTTACACATGTAAAAAATCGTCAAGAAGACAAGTTTGACGAGCATGATTACTAAAAAAAACGATAATAATACATTGATTTTCCTTGTAATTTCTCCTATGAAATGGGATTTGTTCATAGATGTTTATTTTAAGTCAACGTTTTCAAAAAAGAGTCAATTACAAGCTTATTGCATCTGGATTTGTAGTTTAAAGCACTATTTCATTTGCTGTTATATTATTTAATCAGAGCTTGTAAATACATACCTCGTGATTATCAATATGGATCAGTAAACACCTGAAGATGTACATAGCTCTTTTCATCAAAAATCTAAGAATGTTACAAGTATTACATATATACTCGTAATACATGTAGTTTGTCGAGGCCCTTAGATAGGACAATGTTGTCAAAAGGGGTCTCCACTTTAGCGGCCCGAGATCTGACTCCAAGTAGATCGTAATGATGATTGTTGTTGAAAAATTAATTTCGCCTATCCTCGTATATAATCATCGACCTAAATCGAGTTAGTCAATAACGGAATTAAATAAGTCGAATAACGAGTATGGACTTGCGAATACATATATTTTGTATATAAAGCGAATGGAATAGAGTGAAGAGTTACGACGCAGAGTGGAGGTGGCTAGTAAGCCAACTCCCATTTAACCAAGCACTAAACAATACATTTAGTTACACAAAAGTAAGTTACAGATATGTGATGAGTAATGGGATAAGAAATGTACACACACCTACGCACTCATATAAAAAGAGTCAAGATTGATAAGCGAATAAATAACAAGATCAAAATGTGACTCAAGTAGAATGAAGAGAATGGTCTGTCCGAATGCTAGAATAAGGTCTATGTGCTTAACATAATAACCGACACTACAAGTTCACCATAAAAAACCTTGGGAAAACAATCAATGCAGTTCAGTTTTCTGATTTTATAATAATTCATTAAAGGTTTATTACAGGTTTTATCCTATCTGAATATTATTTAAGGCCTTTCAAATAGTTATCATTTTATTTGGAATTTCTTTTTCTTATACTAGAAATTTAAATTTAATCAATCAATTAGGTGTTTTTCAGTTGCCTTAGTGATTCACATAATTTTAAAATAAATACGATTATTTATATTATAATAAACGTGAATACAGGTGGGGGACAACCGATTGTATTTGAACACAAAATTACAGAGTTCTTTAGTCGAATATGAAAACTATACATTCAATACTTTATTAACAAATCCTCTACCAATTGTCCCAAATGACATTGTTCCTTCATTATCATAATAATTACTCTCTGTTCCTGTTCTCTTTGATTCGTTCTTACCAATATTCTTCTGCCAGGCAATTCATTTCAAATTGTAATTGCATACTACTTATCTCGATATAAGTAGCATACATCATAATGTGAGAACATTTCAATTATCATATAAAAACGTTTGTGATTGATACATTAATGTTAGCAATATTTCAAGTAACCTATTAACTTGAAAGTTTCATATTCAATTAATTTCTGTTTATTGTATTATGGTTTTAGGTAGAATACTACGTCCTAAAGATTATCCTTTATTGATTGTTCAAAATAGTCAATCATTAGGTGTATTAGTTTTACGTAAGAAACAAGATGCTTTATTAATGAATAAACGACGTTCAGTTTGGGTAAGTTATTTTTAATAAACAGTTATAGTAAACAATATACAAACTGTCAGTAAATAGTATAAATGTAGTGAACCAGAACGCGAGTGAAGACAATCAAAGAGCATGTCAATAAAATCTGAGTACCATATAGTAAAATCGTTGATTTGCAGAATATCAGTCCGTCGTCTCAAGCTTCACTGTTCCTTTGCAAATATCAGTCGATTGTCTCAAACTTTATTATTCATGCCTTTCCATACCAATTGTGTCCCGTTCCTTATCGATCTTCTGCTGAAATACATTCTATGCCTGACCACCGTTATATACTACTTATATGGATATATGTGACCCATACCACATAAGAATTATGGAACTCTCCTTTCAGGAAAACAATTATTTAATTGTATTGTCATCCATAAAAAGATACATCTTGTACATAATGCCTGTGATCTTTTGACAAAAATTTATTTACCAAAGATTAGTTCCAAGTTCTAGTTTTCAATAGGACATTTAAACCAGGTTAATTAATCTGGTTTTCGCTAAGTAATTTGCTTTAGCAGTTTTCAGTTTCACATTCTCAAATGTAGTAATTAAAAGACATAGTTCACAAACAGAAAAACTACATTGATTTTAATTTTACACTGGTTGTCAGAAATGGGATCAGCTTCGTGAAGAACCTTGGCTTTTAATGAGTTATATGAAGACCATTCAACTTCTGAGGCAGAGTTTAAAAAAGTTTAAATGATGTTCTCTTGTTTGCTCTCTTTAAGCAAGATTTTGTTTATTGAATATGGTTGATGACCCCATGCTGAACACTACTCGTTAACCTGGGTTTGAAATTAGTAGTAACCACAGAAAAGTTTCAAGCGGATTTGATGAAGCAAAGTTCATAGTATATTAATCTGGGAATCCTATCTTACTAAGAAACACAAACAATATTATTTTAGTCGGTGAGGCTATTTAGTTTCCGTGTTAGGAAATTTATTTATTTGAGAATCATGCAGATAAACATTCAGAATCTTCGGGCCTAGGTTGCATGATAGTAGTCATCAACAATTCTTGCTATGATCCATGGGTAAAATGTCTCTCACTAGAATTCGAGCTAGTTTTCACCCAGTTTCACTGGATGAGACGTTATCACGTGCCTACTGGAACAGTGACAGATCATTTACAAAACTGAGATCTTTACATTAACTGATCACTGAACAGTAAGCGGTGAACATTTATAAATTTATTTCATACAGTAAATCGGTGAATATAATGTGACATATTCAAAATGGGACTGTTATTTGATGATTATAAAGTGTAAAATATCAAGCGGATTGACCTATATTTTCTATATGGAGTATATCTCCATAGTCCTTTACGGTTGCATCATATAACAACTTTATAGTAATCTTATAATCAATAACATTTCATTATTGATTTTATTAACTACGAATATTAATGCTCAGATATAGTAATTTCTCTTTCATTTGGTTTGTCTTCAATAGATGAATAAAACCAAACCATATTTTCGACGTTCAGTACGAGATAAAGTAAGTGATTATTTAAAAAAGAGTTAACGTTTGAAATATTCATTTGATCATTGTTTTCACTTCCTTAATTGATTTTGAGAATATATGTTCATTGAAAATATTGGAAACATTGAACAACTGGTGGTGGTCAGTATTATATATAATCTTTAAACTTTGTATACAGTTCATCTTGATAACCGTCAGTAGATAACGCCCCCAAAGGTGTATTAATCAAAGTCATTAAACTTATTAAGAGATCCACCTCATCTTAAATTCTTTTGATCACCTCTAGAGAACCATTTTACAAGTATCATCAATTTACTTAAATTCAATTATCCATATTTTTTTCGTTCTGCATAGCGTACCATGCACCGCATATTGAGTAAATTTTAATGAATATTAGAAGGAGTTTTGTGGATAATATAATAAGTTCAGTGGTTGAGATCATGAGTCAGTTGAAGCTAGACCACTATAGTAAACCTGTATGCACTGGACGGCCGTTTCGTCCTATTTTGAAATTCCTCAGCAGTGCCGCCTCAGTGGTCTAGTGGTTAGCCGCTCGCGCGAGACTGATAGGTCCTGGGTTTGAACCTCGCGAGGTGGGATCGTGGACGTGCACTGCTGAGGAGTCCCGTACTTGGACGATACCTCCGTCCAGTGCTTCCAAGTTTGTCATGGTGATCTAGCTTCAACTGACTCATGATTTCAACCACTTAAATTTTAATTACCAAAATGTACCATATTTTTCAGAATAAATTACCTTAGTACTCATTAGTAATATGAATCAAAAGATAAAACTGTTTGGTATGGAACAAATCTAGTGGTCATTATACTCGAAATATAAAGATTAGCTCCAGAAAGCAAGTGGCGATTTAGACACGAAATCTCAATGGAAGAAAAAAGAGCTATGAATTCTCCAAAGTCTAAACAAAGGAAAACATAACTAACAGATGACATTAGATAGCGATTATGATATGACACACATTGACTGTAGTTAAGAATGTACACAATTGAATCCCAAGTTAGTGATATGAAAAGGTACACTTAATGTAAAACTTTATACTTTGTAAGCTTAATCCTTTTCATGATCATTTTCTTGTAAGCAAAAGAGAAGAAGCTGTTTAGAACGAAACAGCTCACTAATGTTATCGAGTTACCATTAATTTTTCAATAAATTTTATTTCTCTAAAAACTTACTTACGCCTGTTACTCCTGGTGGAGGAGTATAGGTCACCCACCAGCATTCTCCATCAAACTCTGTCCTGGGCAGTCCTTTCCAGCTCCTTCCAGTTGTTATTCAAACCTTTCATATCTGCTTCTATTTTCCGACGTAATATGTTATTTGACCTTCCACTTTTCCGCTTCCCTTCAAGATTCCATGTTAAGGCTGGCATCGTGATGCAGTTTGATGATTTCCTCAATGTATCTCCTATCCATTTCCATCGTCTTTTCCTAATTTCTTCTTCAGCTGTAAGCTGATTTGTTCTCTCCCACAAAAGGCTGTTACTGATGGTATCCGGCCAATGGATGTTGAGTATCTTGCATAGACAACTATTTATAATTACTTGTATCTTCATGATGATGGTTGTTGTAGTTCTCCAAGTTTCAGCTCTTCAAAGTAGAAATCTTAAAAAAGATTTGTAAAATGAGTATCCAAGTAAAATAACTTCAACTCATTATAATTATCTTATTTATCTATGAATAATATTCCCTTTAAAATTTATAATGTAAATGATTATTTAATTTTTTTTCTATTTGTTTATTCATCCCAATTATAAGAGTTCACGTACACCATCACCAGTGAAACAAACACTTACACAACGCTTAAATCCTTTTCCGTGTATTTTCAAAGGATTATCAAAAAGTCGAATACTTGAAAATATTTCTTGTGAAACACTTCCATCATTTGATAAAACTCAATTCATTGAATCTGAATGTCAAATAAATCAAGTAAATGGTAATGAATTTATAGACAATAAACGTTCCCGACCAAATTCAACAAAACCATTATCATTTAGATATATGAATGATTTAGACAGTGAAGATAAATTTGAAATTTTCAGTCCGTCAAATAATAATAATGGTTTTGATCATTTAGGAAATAATAATCAAACGTTACCATTGTACAATAAACCATGTACTATTCACTCTACGTCAAATAATGATCATATTGCTTCAGAATGGTCATTAGCACCATCTGAAACACATCATATCATGAAAGTTACTTCAACTACTCCACCCTTACCACCGAAATCAACGAATTCTCGAGGAAGATATTATAATGGAATACAACATAAGCAGTATAATTTTTATCATCCATTTTTTTATGAAAAACAATCAGCTGAACCACATCGTCAAAATCCATCGGTTACAGATGGTAATAAAATTTGTAAACCAGAAAGGAGTGCATCACCGATTTTAGCTTTCGATGCGAACCGTTTATGTGAAAGTAGACAAAGTGCAGTTAGATTTCAAGAAAATACAAACACTTCTGGTATTTGGACAAAAGAAAATGAATGTTCTCTGGAAGACACTACAAGCACAGCACAAACTAATGGGTGTAAACCTAAAGTATTTATTGACAGAGCTCAATCCAGTGATTCTGTACAAACATTCACTCCAGCTGATTGGGATGATAAGACAACAAGTCATGAGAAAGTAACAGATTCGGCAAATGTAGGTACAACGTATGATAATGGTTGTAGCAATACAATCACTGAATATGATGTGCCTCCTGACAATTGTGTTGATTGGAAGCACTCTATACCTTTACCTATTCTGTATGATTCGTATTCAAAGCAAAAATGCTCGGATAAACCAAACAATGACCACTGTATCAATCGAAGACTACCAAGTGACATAAATTCAACACAGACCAGTGAAAAGAAGCCACAGATTCAACAAAAGAAAAATCAAAGAGGAGATAGATCAGAAGAAAATAAACACGGACATGATATTCAAGCACATATCGATTTCTGTACAAAAACAAATGGTGATTATGTAAGTATTAATTGATAATTAATTTACGAGTTTACATAAGCCCAAAGGATATTTTCAGTTAAAAAGAAGTGTTATGTAGAAGTGATTTCAGACATTATGAAAAAAACATGTGGTGTTGGCTCAATATCGCGGCTTTAATGAAGTAAAATCATAAACCATGGTATGTAAATTCAATGAACTTAAGATTAATCTATTGTCACGTAACCAGGTCTTGGGTTCTGTTCTTGATAAAGTCGTGAGTAGATATTAGCAGTTCGCGTAAATTAATTATCTATATACTGACATGTGGTAAAGAAGTGTTTCAATGGCCATAAGCTTTTATTTTCGCTGGACTTTTGTCTAAATCTGAGAAAATAGCTCTGAAATAACGGTGTAAAGGTAGAAAATTTATCATTACGAAATCAGATAAAGAGAACACTATTGCTATTATAAACACCTTTGGTTATAAAATTAGAGCATAGGAACCCGGAAAAATCAAGGAAACAAAACATAGAGTGACACTTAAATCAGTTATGGTTGAAACAACTAAAATACTACATTCTATGGAATTCTCCCTTGATCTAAAAATTTGCAGATCTTGTAGTTATAGCGGTCTACCAAAAATCTGTCAAACGAATTTGTCACTTAAACTAGTAGTTGAATGCCTAAACCGTATATTTAAATCAGTTGAAGAACAATTAAAATTTGCAATCAATGATTCAAGTGAACTCAAAGACACTATTACTACTATCTTTGTAAAAGAGGAAGAATTAATGGCAAGTCTGGATAATTTTTCCTTATTCACACTTGTTTCTGTAAAGAAATAGTTAGATGCGATACATAATTCTTTAAAGTCTGGCACTGATTTAGGTCAGAGATGATTATTGGGTCTCTCTTATATTACAAGTTCCCTGGGATCGTGTCTAAATCCCAATCAATTCAGATTTCTAGGAGACCCATTAATATAAAACGAAGATGTAATTATAAGATCACCAGTCTCCTTGATTTCTATTAAGTTATGAGTAATATTACTAACATTGTTAAATTATCTTATTAAGTTCATTTTCTTAATCATTTGATTACTATTGATCCGATTGCAATGTGTCAGAATCACAAATGGTTTCATTTGATTATATAAACTACAAAAGATGATTAACATTTAGTATGATAATTTGGGTTTAAAGTTCTGTTCTAATACTTTACAATCATGTTAAATCATGATAAGTGTATGATGATGTTAAGTTGCTTAGTTTAATTTGTCCTATTACAAATTTGGTACATAGACCTAAATAAATAATTTAGTAATTTATAGGTTTCATTGCCATGGTTAGACGTAATGCTTCCAAATATATAGAGCATTAGGTAAAAAGTTAGTAATATATAGATCTTTTTGATGAGACTATGATTTACGGACGACCTATGAGAGACGCTAAAGTGACCTTGAGAGTGTTCACCTAATAACTAGGATCAAATGAGCGTTATAAACCAGTGTGAGGAATTAGAGTTGATGTTTAGGGTGAGAATTACATTTAGAGTTTTCATCACGAACTGACATCAGCAATAATGCTAAAACTCTATTTAGCCAAATGGGTGGGTGAATTTCGCACCACAATCCGAGACCTGTTATCTTATACCTGATTGGTTCGTCCATAAATTATAGTCTCACCAAAAAATATCATTGTTATCATTTATTAATTATTAAAAAGTACACTTTTAACAACCGCTCATTAACAAACTACTATAACATTTATCACTATAGAGTTGTGGAGATTGTTAAGTTTTTGATTGAGATCATGAATTGATTGATGTTAGACCACCAACCCGAAAGCACTGTACAACCTTTTTGTTCAACTATGGAACTCCAAACCAGTGCACATACACAATCCTCCTAGCGGAACTCAAACCCAGAACCTTCGGTCTCGTGAGCGAACGCCTAACCTCTAGACCACTGAGCAGGCATTGAACGTTGTTTTAATGTCTGTTTTCAACTAATTCACGAAATCACTCGACCATGTTCCATTTTACTAAAGAAAACGACTATCTCTAACTGACATGAATTAGCTCCACTAGTCAGGGCTTTTTATTAGTACTCCTAGAAGTGAAGTTTTGATAAATCTCTGTCTGTTGTAAAACATCTTCATTCAATAGTCTAAAAAAACGTTCCAGAAAACTTTACTATGTATAAATAATTATAAAACAATAATACTGTGTTTGTATTAACTTTTGCTTTCATTTGTATATGTAGGATGAATCACTCAATGGTTTTCTTCCTACTATGAAATTTGATTTAGATCAAATGAAATTACACAATTCATATACTCAAGTGAACATACCGCCTAAATTAACTTTAAATACTTATATTACTAACAATTCACTAACATTACGAGGAATGACAAGTTTCGGTAAACGTTTTGTGTGTCTTTTTGATATTACTAGTAAAGTTTAAGGATATTCATTTAGTTTTATTTAGTTTCCCTAAACTCTATATGGATATTTATTGTTTTTATTCTGATAAATAATTACTTTAACCTGTAATAAGTTTCATTTGAACAGGTATATTAGCCATATATATACATATACAACACAGTATGCAGCTGGTGATCAAATGGATCATGAAGACGTCAACATTTTGGGGGAAGCGTGGGATACAGCGGACATCTAGGATACAGTTGGACCATCAAGACTTCACAGATGATATGGCAAAAACAAATGCAGGAGGAAAAGACCAATGTGATAGCAGCCTAAGCAACAGTAGGCCTCAACAACACAACATGCATCAATCCAATCACATTTGACGGAGAAGATTTGGAATATGTGAAAACCGTTACATATCTCGGCAGCATCACTGGTGAACACGATGTATCTGATTCAGATGTGAAGGCACGGACTGGTAAATCAAGAGCAGTATAATTACAACTGAAGAATATCTGGAACTCTACCGCCAACACCATAGTCGGAATTTTCAATACGAGTGTTAAAACTGTTCTACTGTATGAGGCGGAAACTTGGAGAACTACGAAAGCCATCATCCACAAGATAAAAGTGTTTATCAACAGTTGTCTACGTAAAATACTTTGGATCCGTTGGCCAGACAATATCAGCAACAACCTATTGTGGGAGAGAACAAACCAGATTCCAGTGGAGGATGAAATCAGGAAGAATCACTGGAAGTGGATAGGACACACATTGAGGAAAGCACACAACTGTGCGTCACAAGGTAAACCCTTACATTTAATCTTCAAGGTCAAAGGGGGAGAAGGAGGAGAGGAAGACCAAAGAACACATTACTTTGAGAAATGGAGACAGACATGAGAAAAAATGAACAAAAGTTGGATGGGACTAGAAAGGAAGGCAGAGTGGGACAGAGTGGGTTGGAGAATGCTGGTCTGTTTTGTATGCTCCATTGGGAATAACAGACGTAAGTAATATATACATATCATTGAGAGTGGGAGTTAGATACTGAAAGTTTGTAGGTGTCATTACCAAGGTTTGATTTGATAATTTCGAATAAATTGAGCATTAGGTTCATTGTTATAAATAAAAATAATATATTTGTAATATCCCAATGAGTAGAAAATTGGATTTTCTGACGATTCGTGACTTAGTGTAAGTCACTTCTTCAGAGAATAAATAACCAAATTAAACTTGGATTAATTTTAATTTGGTTATTTTTTCTCTGAAGAAGTGACTTACACTAAGTCACGAAACGTCAGAAAATCCAATTTTCTACTCATTGGGATATTACAAATATATTATTTTTATTTATACTGAAAGTTTGTTTGATACCAGACAACAGTGTAAAGGTGGGTGCTTCATTTCTGTAAACAAATTTGTCGATCCACAACCGAAGTTTAGTCATACCGATATTTTGCAGCTATGTATAGTGTTTGTCTTTTTGTCATTCTATAATGAGGTATTATATTTCAACACAGATTACTTAAGCAAATGTTAACTTAAAGATAGTTCGTTTTCTTTTTTTGAAACCAAAGTCTGTGTATTTTCATCAGAATATTAACAGTAATATTAATAATAATAATGGTTTCGTTCAATATTACATATTAAGTACAATGTGGATTCCTCAATACACAATATTTCAACAAGTTTCTCTCACTCTTCTTACATAGCCTAAAAAAGACACTCAATAACTGTTTACATAGACACGCTAAACGAAAAAATCAGTTATCTAGGATTCCAGAAGATATGAATCCGTACAACTGATTGGGTCATCTCTTGCAACTTGTTAGTCTCATAATATATTTCCTATATAAGGTATTGTAAAGCTTTTACACCTTTACTTGCGTATATGAACTCGTATGTATTGGCACTCGGTTTTACCGGACGATGATATATGGAAAGAAAGATGCGAATGAGGTGGATGATTAGTATTTTATAAAATAACACTTGACAAAAGTTTGCGAAATTTTTAATTTCTATCCATAATCATATTTAAAATGATATTGGAATATTTGTAGTGTCGATTATTATGTTAAGCAAATAGACCTTATTCTAGCATTCGGACAGTCCATTCTATTCATTCTACTTGAGTCACATTTTGATCTTGTTATTTATTTGCTTATCAATCTTGACTCTTTTTATATGAGCGCGTAGGTATGTGTACATTTCTTATCCCATTACTCATCACATATCTGTAACTTACTTTTGAGTAACTTATAAATATTGATTTAACGCTTGATTAAATGGGAGTTGGCTTACCAGCCACCTCCGCTCTGCGTCGTAACTCTTCACTCTATTCCATTCGCTTTATATACAAAATATATGTATTCACAAGTCCATACTCGTTATTCGACTTATTTAATTCCGTTATTGACTAACTTGATTTAAGCCGATGACTATATACGAGGATTCATTACGATCCTCTTGGAGTCAGATCACGGGACACCAAAGTGGAGAGCCAACAAACATCGTCTGATCTAAACGACGACAAAATTACGAACCCCACTAAATATTCACAATGTATATTTAATGAATGCCTTTAGCACTCTCTGAAATACGTCTAAACCTTTATTAAGAATAGTGAAAAAACAATGATGAACAATAAGTAATATAAAAGAATTTACAAACCTTAAATGTAGATAATGTGTAATGCCGAAAACATGTAGCCTAATTATGTAATAAGTCAGAGAGAAAAATTCCTTCGACATGAATGAAAAAAATACGAGAAAATCATGAGAGACCAGAGGAAAAACTTAGAACAAAACAAATAACCTTTGAGGTTAGATTTATAACAGAATCTCCAGTGGTATAAATGTCATAGAATTTCAAACATAAAGCATTAGAAATCATAAAAAGCACCATACATATTGAACAAATCATGTGGATATTATAACTCAATAGCTCAATGGAAAACTGTGTTGTCTTTGAAATGTTAGACAATGGATTCATCTATAAGTGAGAAAATCAACAACGAAATAGAGGGTTTAGTAAATTGGTTGAAGTACGTTTCCCTGATGCTGTTCTTACTATATTTCAAAGCTTATAGTATAATGTTATGATACCTAAAATGTAATTTCACATAATATAGTCTTATTACAAAAGAATGTCATCATTTATTGAAAGTGAGTTCAATTGTTACATACATGATTGACCATTTATCTTATTTGTTCTTCTTATATTCCAGAAACAATTACTACAAGTCAAAGCTGTGAAGATATTAGCCTTTATAGACATCAGATCATGTCGAATGGTCAGAATAATTTACAAAATGAAAGTTATAGTTCAACATCTCATCTAAGTGTTCCAACACCTTTTCATGATTCAGATGTGAGTGTTTCAATGGTATCCAAAGAAAATATGCTTACATTAGCTACTGAATTGCCAATACAATCAAATGAATTTAAACAGTATGAAACTCATTTAGACTTTTCACCGAATACATCTGTGCATAATAATCATAGTAATAATGATATTAGTAATAATAACAATAATAATAATCATAATAATAAATCGTCGACTTTGTTTCAGAAGCATCCAGCTTCACAAGTACACAAATTATTCACCTATAATTTTGAAGCTATAGGTAATCATATTAATAGTCAATCCTCTTTGGAACTTGCCAGTGTAGAAAATGAAAAAAAGGCAACTTTAAACAACTCAACACATATAAAGCATAAGAAAAAATCATCGCATTCAAAGAAACATGATAGAGCAAGTATACTTGTACATGGTTGTAAAAAAACAAATGCTTCATCTTCAGATATAGGAACTGTTGAATCTTATCCTTCATTATTCGATGTATTACATCATTGTGATATCTATCGAGTTATATTAGATCCAAATCTCCCAAGTCTAAGTGATCAACTTGGTTTACGTCTATGTTTAACTAAATTTCCATTGGATGATGTACAAAGGGCTGATACTCTACAAAAGTTGCAAAATAATCAAATATTTGACATAAAAAGCTCAGATGGAAGTGTTGAGACGATGAACTCTATGAATAATCTAAAAGGTCCAAAACCACATATTGGATCTCGCAATAATGGTACTTTTAAACCAATAGAGATGAAACATTCAAATATGGCCTTTGATGTAGTGACTATTGAAAGTATTGAACCCGATTCACCAGCAAGTTTTGAAGGTAGTTTAGCTCCTGGTCATATAATTTTAGAAGTTGATGGTAAAGATTTGCTTCATCCAAAATGTCTTAAAGATGGATATGGAAATAAATTGAATATTCTTACTATTGCACAAAATCAACTTCGAGCTGCACGTCAAGCAGCTTTAAATGGTGAAATTCCACCAATTCGTATAACTGCAGCACAATATCATAATAACTTTGGTTTGGCTAACACAGTAAGTAATCTGGAACGTATTAGTTTATCTGTTCGTCATAAAAATGGATTAAATGGAAATATGCACATATCTACAAATCATACTACATTTGATAAACTACAAAGAAGTAATGGTGTTGTACGTGTGAGTTGTTTTTTTATCTTCAGACTATTTGATGACAATATATATCATTAAAATGGGGACAATTAAATACTAAATACTACTGAAACTACAAAATAGAGTAGCAAAATTTTAATCAGAGTTTATCAGTTCTCTTTATTGATATTGGGCAAGAAATTCGGGTGAGTCTCTATTCTTACATCTGTATCTCAAAGTGATCGACATGATTTAACTTTTGTCAGAAGTTCTCGGATATGGTATGTATATGGAACAAATTTGTCTTTGAAAATAAACTAATCGTTAGTATTTCAGTGTGTCTGAATTTCATTACCATGTAGAATGGTTTTGGTTTCCATGCAGTCTGCTCTTTTCCTCATATTTAGGTTATGGTAAGTAGTGGAGTCCAAAGAGCCCATTTCCTTCTACTCGAGACAAGTCATCTGGATCTATCTGCATCTTGCTGTCGAGAAAAACATTAAAACTCAAATTCATTGTCTATTTCTTCAAACACCATCTTATGACACAATGCTATGTCAATGTGGTCTTCTTAGAATGTACACATGGTAACTTAGACTGATCAGTTGCAGTCCTGAATATCGATAATGCTAAATTGTCAGATCCTACTAATATCTTCATATCCACTGAATAAGCTGGTGAAATATCCTGATTTATCAGCTAAATTTTATAATGTTTTATGTCAGATAGTGTTCTTGAACCCTCCTAGACTTATATAGGTAGCATCACTGGAGGCGATAAATTTATGAATGCACACGGAAATAGCGGTAACTAAAGACAAACTGGTATGGAATAATGCAAGAATGGATCTAAAGATAACAGATGAATAGTTCTTATTATATAAAAAAGATAAAGCAAGAACGATTGTCTGAATGCATTGTTTTATACGTCATATTAACATAGATTAATAGTCACATTCTTAATGGTATGAGTATCACATGACATCTATTAATCAGTAAATTAAGTATGTAAACACGCCGTCATTATATTAAACTACCATTGCCGGCAAATGCGGTTAATTGATTGATTACTGATATCTTCCGATGTGAATTCATTCCCTGTTTTATTGATAAACATTCATTGACTAGAGATATTTAAAACACTTAACAGATACTGAACGCTCGACTAGCTTTTTCCAACTTACGTCATTTATGGCATACGTACGTAAGAAGTTCTATGTTGTTGCTAACTAATTAACATGAATAAACTACAAGTTGTTAACAAATAAAAGAAAATATATTTCATGTAATTGTAGCGTGGTGTCGAGTGGTGATTGACTGTGAACACCGCTACCAAAAAACGCGTGCCAAATGACTCCATAAAATCCCCCGGAAGTCAAATATTAGATGGCAGTTAATGGACCAAGTCGAGATATATTTGCTGGCGATCTCGTGGTATCGAAAGGATACCGAAATCGTGCCACGATACAAGCTTGGTTACAGAACGTAACCAAATTCGCGCGAAGTAACAATCAAAGTGTAAGAATAATGGATGTTTTTAGCACAGTTAAACAAAAGCACATTAAAACAGTCACTGGTACAATTGGTTATAATAATAGTTGTTTTCGATAAACCAATCGTGTTCTCGTGATAAAAGTGAGTCACTACATAATATTACTTACTTACTTACTTACTTACACTTGTTACTTCTCGTGAAGGAGCACAGGTCACTCACCAGCATTTCCCATCAAACCCTGTCCAAAGCAATCCTTTCCCGCTCCTTCCAGTTGTTATTCATCCTTTTCATATCTGATTCTATTTACCGACGTAATGTGTTCTAAGGCCTTCCTCTTTTCCGCTTCCCTTCATGATTTCAAGTTAGCGTTTGCCTCGTGATGTAGTTTGATCATTTGCGTAATGTATATGCTATCCATTTCTATCGTCTTTTTCTAACTTCTTCTTCAGTTGAAATCTAGTTTGTTCTTTCCCAGTTATATAATATACTAACTTATTTTTTAATTTTAAATTCTAGGATAATGATCAACAATATGATACAGATTTTGATCAAATGAATGAAACTAGTCAATCATTTAAAACATCAGATCCAAGTGAAATTTATAGTAAATGTAATTCAGAATTAACTAATACTGGTGAAGATTTAATTGAAACATTAAAAAATCAATTAATCTGGTTTTCACGTAATCAACAAATGAATTCATGTCAATCACCATTTGATCCAAGATGTTTAGATAATTAAATCAATATGTTACCAATGAATTGATGTTCATGGAAATGTCTTTATTTATCTATTCATTCATTCATAAATTTGGAATGTTCTATAGATATGTAGCGGCTTCACTTCATGTTAAACAATTAATCATCACATGGCATCAAATACTGACCGAATAGGACTTTTTCTTCCCAATTCGTTAATTATCTTAGATTTTATTGTAATTTGTGTATATTCTGAACGTTTTTTGTTTTTGTTTTTCGTTTCTAACTGAAAATCTAAACAACTTTCATAGAATAGATATCTTATTTTCATCAGTAGACGCTAGCAATGGCATTTAGCTCTATTTACAATTAGTCAGTTCGATTTACCTGAATCTCATGTGTTGATGTTCATGTTGGAACATAAAAGATTGATGATAATGCGATCCGTAATATCGACAATGTGATCATTCGAACCATACCAATAAGATCTTAAATAAGGTAGTCATTTTCCAGAAACAACTTGATTCAGTCATTAAACGTTTTGATGCATTAGGTTACATATACATAAATTATCAGGATATTACATTAACGAGGGTGAAATCTGTAGTGGCTTAGTTTCATGGTAATCAATCTCCTTGATAACCGTTATTATATAAATCCTAACGGTGTTTGAAATCAGAAGGCAATAAGAAGCGGTGACTACACTTTATTATCGGATAGCACAAATCACAAAGCTATAAGTGTAATGAACAGAACAAAATTACATGACTTGTTAATGAAATCTAACAATCAAATAGTAATTTGCAGAATGTCCATCAATTTTCTCAAAATGACTCAGACTTGATTGTTTTTGTATTTTCATACAAATTGCATTATGTTTCCATTCTTTACTGTTCGATCCTTTTGTGTCTCTGCCGCCAGACCTTCTGTTTACGGGAAACGTCATATACTACTTAAGTCAATATAAGTAGAACACATCACAACCATATCAAATGAATTTGAAGCAAAGAGGCGAATAAGTATATATGGGCAGATACATAGGAAAATTTATGGTCAAATTGAATAAGTGCGCAGCAAGGCAAAGCAAAAGTTAATAATAAGATTTGAGTACATATATACATGGGGAGTATCATGATTCATCGAGTGATATTTATGCTATCAACATTCTAGCTAGAGTCTGTTATGTGACCAAGTGCACATGTTTATACAGACAAGATATTGATCATAATAGTACAAAGAAATAGACAAATTGTTACTATTCGAATAACCTTAATCGAAATTGATTATAGGGGAGTTGCTATAACTAAATATTTATGTATCATATCTTTGTATGGAATATTTAACTGTATTCAAATAAAATTTATTGAATATTAAGTGAAAACAAAGTGTGTTAAATAACTCTTTATACTACTATTCAAGAAAATAACGATTCTTATATTGCTAATGCTATGATAAGGTTTTTTTTCCAAACAAGCATTTCTGGTAAGACTATAACTCATGGACGACCTTTGAGTGACGCTAAAGAGACCTTGAAAATGTTCACCTACACACTACGGTTAAATGAGGGTTATATAGCAGTGGGAGGAATTAAGAATAATATTTACAGTTGGTAGTTAAGGTTAGGAATAAGACATAGGGTTTTCATCACGAACTGACATCACTTGTAATGTCAAACCTCTATTTAGCCAAATGAATTAATTAATTTTGCGCCAAAATTCATGACCTCTTGTCGTTAATTTGATTGGTTCACCTATAAATTATAGTCTCGCCTCATACTTGTTAATTTTACTACCATAAAGATGTACGAAATTGATTGTTAGCTAAAAGAAGCTTCGGTAATGTGAATTTAAGTCAAACAACAATAAGAGCGAATTAGTTGATAATCATATTGCTATGTCGGAAAAAATAAATTTTTTTCTGAATTTGACTGAGTTTTATTTAATCAGATTATAATACAAGAGAGTATTTTATTATTTTATTTAAACACATAAACATTGGTACAATGAGGCACCAAATAGATATGCGCCACATAAATCATTCGATTTGTATGAGGGCTGGGATACTGCCAGGGTGAGGGGATGCAGTCCCATGGTATCCGGTGACCAACGATTGGTTCATACGCCATTTGTTCCCGCAAGATACTGGAGCCCATGTGCATCATCGGTTTGGAATCCGGTTAAAGCGCCGGACATTCGCTTTTCGTCCTCTCATTTTTGTGAACAACACCCTCTCCACGAGAAGGCAGTGAGTAGAACTTCCCTGGCAGAGGCTGTATACGCGTGGCCGTGTGATAGCATTTCGAGAGGGAGGGCGGGCCCAGCCCACTCTCGGCCATATCAGGGCATTTGAGGGCAATACAAGAGAGTAGCTGTATTGGTCTAGTCCGAATATCGATTAATTTTCATAGATTATCTATCGAGTATCAACGGCATCTAGCCGACCGATAGCACGAGAATAATGAATAAAATACCGGTGATTCAGAATTTAGATTTATCAAATTTACCGGCATATAGAAAATTAAAATTTATGAATTATTCTTACAACAAAAACAGAGTAAAATGCGGACCACACATTAACATACTTAAAAAAATTACGCAATTGGTAGACCTCACCATTAGTGTAAGAGAAGTGACTAATATGTTGGTAGTAAATTAAAAATAACTTAAGAAAGATACAATCGGGAGGATACAAAATTACAATAGTTTAATTGTATAATGATGATATAATAAAAATACAAAAAATAACTTTAGATAAAACAGTTCAGTGAGATGTTGGAGAAAATTTGTAGCTCATGTGGATGATTTTGATGAAGTTTTGTCCTTTGAGCTGGATAATTTGGTCATTGAGCTTTCATCACTCTTCTGAACGACATCATTAGTACACTTCACCACTGTCTGAAGTTTGTATTGATGATATCGTTCAGAAGAATGATGAAAGCTTCACGACCAAACTACACAGCTCAGAGAACATAACATCATCAAATACAGTTCAGTGAGTTCAACATTGCCTTACATTTATTCCATTATGGCTAATATATGTTACGTAGATGAGACATAAACGTTTGAAAATAAATTAAAACAGCTCACATGAAATTGAGTTTGTTCACAATTAATTCGATTAAGTCATTTTGTTAACTTATTAACGAACTGATTCATCCATACAACAACTTATCTCTATCATTGTTGCGAATGTATAAACATGTATGCTTGAGCATTGCTTACTGCTTACTCATTTATTCACGCTGCTAGCCTTAACACTAAACGTTGAATTGATTCAACGATTCATTCATTTCACTATGTCTATATATGTCCATGTTATTTATGTTCATTGATGTCTTTCGCTTAATCGTACTCGCTTACTCGTACTCATATTCGCTGACTCACTCACTCGCTCGCTTGCCTGCTTGCCTTTCAGCACAACTATTCTATGCTTGTTTAACGCATCTGTAATTTTGGATATCTGTGTGTGGTCCCTTAATAAACGTAATCAACGCTTTGTATTCGCCTTCTGATTAATATACCGTTGGGGCGTTATCTAGGACGGTTATCAAGACGAACTGTATACGAAGTTTAAGGATTATAACAAATACCGGCCACCACAAAATAACACATGAAATAAATATGAAGTAAAAGTAAATTCAAACTCATGAATCAAATAAAATCATTAAATGATAATATTTAATGTATTAAATAACACTTGATGACAATAATTCTATTCAGCTTGCATAATAATGGATCATCAGGTTATTATTAACATTATAGTTGTAGAATAGACTATTTAATATTATTTTACAATCGGAACTAATTCTCATGATTGATAAAATTGAGCTTTAGAAACAAATTCATATAACATACTGGATCTATTCAATGATTGTAAGAGAGAAAGTTAATTGAAATAGAACAAATGTCATTTCCTTCTATTGTACACTTATTTGTTTGATATTAACGTTGGTGTGAGAAGCAAAATTAAACTCAATAATTTAGTTGATCATGCTTGGACGTGTGAACATGAAATGGATTGAGACATTTTTCTGTCATACTGTTATAACTTGAGGGTTTTTGCCCCTACCAATATATAATGTAATGATACTGCCAATTAAGAGAACAGTGATTTATCAACTGGATCAGTGACGCGTAAAACCCGTACAAGCAGTCTAGAGTCCTTAGTGACCGTGCTTCCTGTCTAGTACTGCCTGTTAAGTCCAGAATACCAATCTCAACCTCTGCGATATAAATCGCATATTTCAAACATACTGGGTTTATATACCAACCGAAGAGTCCACATAGTTCCATAAAATAGAAAGTAACATTTGTACAAGATTTAGACAAAGGTGGCTGTCAATATGGGAGGTTGTAACTGACAGACTGGCCATAACTCAAGAATGGTAAATGGTATAGTAATAGTTCATAGGTCAAAATGAAGCTTATAATAAGAGGGACACGAATATGAATAGTTTAGTCATTTTCACAATTATATGATAAAAATATATGTATAGTACTAGTCCAGAAATAGATTCCAACAGTTACCATTCTCTATTCTAATCGGGATATAACACATACTGAGATTTATATATATATCAATACAGCTCAAACATTGAAATGTCAAAAAAATGTGTTCGATAATCAGCTTTCAGACTGCGATATCAAACTGATGTAGTAAAACAATTGGACAATCAAGATTTTTCTTTTGTTTTGTGGCTGTCATTTCCAAAGTGTTTTTGTAATTAGCAAAGAAATTGGGATGTTAATGAATGCTTTAGTATTAATGAGTCCTATGAAAATAGAACGTGTTATCAGTTAACGTTTTGTGGAGACTATAGAATCTCCATAGTTTTCAAATCACGATTTAATTTTATATAAACCACTGCTGAAAACTAACAAACAGTGGGCCTCTGTTTTATCTTTCTCTTCAATATCGTACATCCACGAACCCCCTTCCACAAAGAATCGAACTTCGAATCTTCGGAAGAATGAGTTGACATTTAACCTGCAGATCGGTGAGCTCTGTCAGTATCTAAACTCAAACAATTCATGATATTATGAAACCATCTTCTATTAACTGTGGTGGATTAACATTCAAAAGTCTTCATCAAACAGATTATTGTTCAGTTATTTCACTTAGTAGTACTAAGTTTCAGTTTAGTTCCTTCTTAATTTCCAGATTACTCTAATTAAAGTCTTTATATTACACATCTTTAGAATACATTAATAGTACACAGAATATGTCTCTTATATTAAAATTATTAAGTATATACTTCAGTTGCTGAAAATTCTCTTTATTCATGTCCTTATGATATAATTAAAGTGCAAAT